GGTATGTATTTTGGTGGTGGATTTGGTGTAGAGTATGCAGTTTACGGTTAAGGAAATGTAGATATTGGGGTTATTGTATACCACATTATTACATTAGAGTCTCGTCGTGATATCTATTTGAGTAGGTACAATCGCGTTACAGAGCGAGAAGTAGGCCGATACCCGCAAGTCCTGGGAGCAGGTTCATCGGGTTGCTCGTAGCTTGCGCCGCAGCGCCCTCCGAGGAAGTACTCGTGGCTTCAGCCGACGAACCACCGCTAGAGCCAGTGCCGGTTGAGCCGGTTGCTGTGGCTGTAGCAGTTATTGTGACACCCGACAGCGTGGGCACTGCGGTGCCAGACGAGATCAGTCCATTTCCAGTTGCAGAAGAGACAGCAGAGGGAACCGGTGTGGCTCCTGGCACAGCAGACGTTCCCGTTCCGATTTCGAGGATATCATCGTCGCCTGGATTGAAATTGGTATTGGCGAGAGAGATTTCGTTGTTCTCGAGATCATACACGACGTACGCACTGCGCAGGAATGTATCACCGAGCAGGTTCACGCCCGGCTGGCTAGGCACGAGGCCCAAGACACACGTGTTGTCGGGCCACCCCGGCTCCGTTGCGGGGATAATCAGCTCACTCATGCTCACGGTGATCGTTGCCCCGGAGAAACTGTATGTTACATTGTAATCCGCCTCTCTAGTGTCGCAGTCGATGTAGGCCATGTCGTATGTCTTGTCGTAGGTTGCGTTGAGCGCATCGTAGACCTTGTTGACCAGGTCGCTGGGCAGTGCCGTCATGGTGGTGCCAGTATCGAGTGACACAGAGAGGGGGAGACTGTCGGTGAAGCTACTGGAGTTGGAGTCGGTCGCAACGCTGAGCTCCGTAAGGGCGATGGCGAGGGAGTAGTATTTGCCATACACAGGAATGATCGGAAGAGTCTGCAGATCGCCCTTGTACTTGGCTGTATTGACACCTCCGAAAAGGAGGGAGCCAGTCGACGCCTCCAAACTATCTAGCCATATGCTGTACGCAGCAGACTTAATGGCACCGCTGTCGACGAGGGCCTGAGGGAGGTTGGCGTAGACTTTGTCGTCATGCTCGGCTTGGTAGGTCGAAATCTTGTAACCGACGCCGGCGATCCCGCCTATAGTAGACCTAGTCAGCGACGATCATTCATGGACAAACGGTTCACCCACGTTTACTAGTCGTTGACTCGGCGATCCCAAACTGCATATTATCGATTGTTGTGTTGCCGATCGTGAGCTTATCGGTCACATAAGGACCGTAAAGGTTTGTGCCGTCCGCATATGTATCGTTGAGGTGTGTGCCCACGGTCTTTACAGTAGACGATTCGCTGGCATTGTACAAGCCATAAGGGGTGCATAGATTGTCGATTGAGCAGTAAGTTGAGTTGCCGGTGTTCACCCAGAGGTCGCTGCTGCCAGTGTCCAAAGCTAATGATACCTTTTGCGCAGGTGTTCCTAACGTCAGGTTGACTGCGTAATAGGTCGCATCCTAGCGATTGTCAGCATGATCTATACTTCACGGCCGTATAGCTTAACATACCCAGTTCTGCAAAGTCACACCGACCGTAGAATCTCGTTTCTGCAAGGACTGGGCGCTCCTGCGCTCAATGGGCATACGAACGACGGCAGGCCCGTCGCGTTTATGGAGAGACAGGCCATGGGCAAAAGGAATGCCCGCCGCAAGAGGAATTAGCGCCGCACCTTTCATCTTGACTGACCGGGCGTCTGTTTTCCTGTTCACAGACTCGTTATAACGTAAGTTGCAAAGAAGCACAAGTCCAAGACGGATGTGCCGCAGTCTGGGGAGGTTAAATTGGCCCCCAAGAGGCAAGGCAGCATTTCTCTTCTGCCTGTTCCTCTCATGTCAGCTTCAACGGCCAGGCTAAGGCAATAGTGTAAGCATGGTGCTCACACTTTGCACTGGTATAGCCAGTCATCATCGACCAAGTGACTCAGCCCCAAATTGGTCAAAGCAAAGGCTGCGTGGAGCCATTCACAACGAACGCTGGATCCAAAGGGTCTGACTTCTACACAGTACAAGCGACCTATCGTGACTTTGGACGGCTATTCCCGCCTAGCTCCGACCATGTCTCCGAATTCGGTCGAGCAGCCGGATGTTCGGCGGTTGATGGCCGTCGGGCCTCCATCCTGATTCGAGCAATCTAATCCGTCTCCATCGCAATTTAAGACATAACGACGATGCACCTTCATTGGGCTGTTGCGGACGGAATTTGCGGCCATTCGCTTGGCGGTGGGCCTCTGCTTTGCCCTTGGATTGGACCAACCCCGTAGCCGCTTTTCCTATCACGAAAATCGCTCATGCCCACTGCAGGAAGAGGGGATTCAGGCTTTCCATCTGTCGGAAAATTCTTGATCCAGCTGCACTAGAGAGTTCAGGTCGCTAGAGCGGCTGTATGGGCAGACTAGCTTCCTGCAATCCCGAATATGTCTCATTGCCATGTGCAGAGTGTACGAGCAGCTCAGGGGTAGTAGATCGGCATGGGAATTTTGGCACGCAATTTGCGCTTTGTGGTGGCGCGCGACATCCACCACTACATTAGATACCATTCCTAGAGCCGCCTGTGAGTATTGCAGACTCTGCAAGTCAACGGTGTTGGAAGGAGACTCTATGACTTCCTGATGTAATAGGCAAAGCGCCCTGGCAGAATCAGTTAGCTGCAGCCGAGTGGCGCGGTCCTTCAGACTAGGGATATCCATTCCCTTTCGGGTCACAAGGCAGGGAGATTACGGCTGACATACCTCACGGCAGATGCTATAGGACTGCAATCATGGCCAATTTCCGCGGTAGCTGTATTTATCCGTTCTGAAAGAAAGCTTTGCAGTTGCTCGTCGAGTTGCCGAATCTCTACCGTTCTACCACTATCGGCTTGGGGGAGCCTTCGCACTGCCAACACCCGATCAAGGAGGAGCACAGCTCGTGCCTGATGGCCAAAAACACAGGGTTTCCTGTCCTGGTTCGAAGGCAGATTTTCATGTGAGGAGCTTCCTACTGATTGATGGCTAGCTTGGATAGGCTGGAGGTCACTCGGCAGAGGAAACTTAGAAGATGGACATTCTGTTGTAGGTCGTTGTGTCTTGTCTTTGATCTCGCATAGAATAAGCCTAGGCTGGGTGAGCCTATGTGTGCAAAATCTTCTTGTAATTGACCTACCTTTCGAGAATGATTACACCCCACCACAAATTTAGGCGCTCCAGTCTTTCAAGTGAGATATTACTAGCTTCGTTTGTCTGCCAGGAGCTGGGATTTGCTAACCCAATTGCAAAAGCGGTTCTGGCTAGAGTCCCCATCGTAATGTTCGCTGCCTCAGGCCGACCGTTGGCATACTCATATGCAGCGATGAGCAGTCCAGCCTGAAGTAAATTTGTTGAGGCACATATTATGGCTTGAGCTTCCGCGAATAGCATCTTCATAGTGGCATATAGGCTATGTGGTGTTAAGTGTGTATTGAGTCTCGACGGCTGCAGGGTCACCAGGCACATAGCCAGCACAAGGACAGAATAGTCCACCGGTGGTGGGCAAGACGGGCTATTGTACTGGGCCAAAGTTCCTTGAAAGATTTCGTACGATACTACTGGAAGCCATTTGTGGAAGTTGCTGAAATACCGGCGACTGATTTCCTGCAACGAGAGGTCTGCCAATTGGATGATGCGGCATACTTGGTACCATGTCCTTCTGGGTGCTGTGGACACATTTCCCGATGGTGGGCCAAACAGGGAAACCATCTGTAGCAAGATCGCATTTATTTCTATCTGAGTAGTCGCTTCTGTGCCCGTTTCTTCAGCCGCCGGAGGAGCTTGGTATCGACATGGCAGGTTCCGTTTGGTGCAGTACCCACAGGTTGGCAGTGTCTTGTCGCATGCCTTCTTTCTCAATTTGCAGGTCAGGCATACTTGCAATGCTCGCTCAGTAACGGGTACTGTCATCTTTTCCGTTTCCCTCACTATAAATTATTCGACAAGCCAGTTGCGATCGAGAAGCGAATCTATCGAAATGCCGATCGGCCTATAATTGGGCTGTCAGTCTCGGACGTAGAGTGCTGAAAGGGACACAGCAGAGCCATATGTTAGCAAAGGACAAGATCAAGTAACTCACTGGGGCTGTCGGCCGCCGCTAAGACATCGTGCCCGATCGTGACATGGATGACGACGGTGTCTTATAGATGGATTGTCAACTTGCCATGCCAGGGACACGTCACGTGATGAAGTCAACTGCCTGTGGGACCAGCGGCCGCCACTAGACCTCTTACGGCCAGTTGACTATCCCCCAACCAGCACTGTCATTGGCTGATCTGCTCGCTGCAATGGGAACACAACAGCTGCATGGATGAGTGTTGCTTTTCTCACCTCTCTCCAGTATGCTGAGGTTTTCACTTATAATGCGCTTGCGTTTGGTCATGGCTACTTCGCAATGCATCTCCGTTCAGCTGCAGTTCCCTGTCCTTGGTGAGACTTCGTTGTTTGTTCGTCCCTCTATACATCCATCTATATAAGCGGCCCAACAGGTTATCATGGCACACAGCAGCGATGATCCGAACCCGATCGATCAAAATCTACCGCTATCGGAATATAAGCCAGAACTGCACCATGATATACACTCTGGAGTCATTCGCGGTCATGCGTACACGAACACAACGCCACTGTCGGATCCTGATCTTATAGTCAAGTTCGAAAAGGGTGATTCTGGCGACCCAAGGAACTTCGGCAGCTGGCACAAGGTTTATATTACCTGCCAATTGAGTATGCTCACTTTTGTTGCGGCATTGGCTTCATCCATATTGTCTCCGGGACAATCAGATATAGCGGAGTATACCAACATCAGCTCCGAGGTCGCAGTGCTTGCGACTTCGTTGTACATCCTTGGTTCGTCACTTCTTCATTCAACTACAGACTCATCTGCTCACTTCTGCAGGCTGGGCGGTTGGTCCAACCATATGGGGCCCAATAAGCGAGGTTTATGGCCGCAAATGGGGAATGCTTCCAGCTCTCTTTTGCTTAGGCTTGTTCAGCATTGGAACGGCAGTAAGCAAGAACGCTGCCAGCATATTCATTACCAGGTTCATTGGTGGTATATTTGGCTCTGCACCCATTAGCAATGCAAATGCTGCGTTAAGCGACGTTTACGCACCGAAAGAGCGAGGAATAGCAGTGGCATTCATGATGCTGTGTATCACAGGAGGGCCATCTGTCGGACCTCTCATTGGCTCTGCAGTGGTGGCAAACTCGAAACTTGGATGGCGCTGTAAGTCTCATGCATTGGAGCTTCTATTGCGTGGACTAAAAAGTTCAGGGACGATGTATATCGAAGCTATCTGCTGCTTTGGCTTATTCGCCCTTGCCACCTTGACGCTGTCTGAAACGTATTCTCCTGTCTTGTTGAGAAATAAGGCACAGAGAATGCGCAGGACGACAGGAGATAGGAGATACTGGCACCCTCATGAGCACGAGAGCATTAATCTAGAGAATGCAGCCACGAAACATTTCATTCGCCCATTACGGTGTGTCACCATGCCTAACCTAAGTCGTGAACCGTCTCTGACTCCCCTAGCATGTTGACAAGCGAGAGCATCATGGCCTGCGTTGCGGCATATGCATCTTTCTCATATAGTTTGATTTATCTATGTCTCCAGGTGTACCCCATTGTGTTTGAAGAGGAACGTGGATACAGTCCAGTGATTGCTTCCTTGCCATTTCTCGGGATCCTGGTCGGCACAGCTTGCGCTGTCGGAATCACCTTTGCGTATCGAACACAGTATGCAAAAGCGGTTATGGAAAACGATGGAAAAGCCGTTCCTGAAGCGCGACTTCCCCCGCTGGTACTTGGGGGAATTGTCCTGCCAGCAGGATTCTTTTGGCTTGGATGGACTGCAGCACCAAAGTACTCGTGGGTACTGCCCACAGTTGCAGGAGGTATGCCATAAAATCTTCCGACGATGTAAGACTATATTGTAACATCTATGCAGTATTCGTCGGTGCCGGAAACAACATCATCTTCCAGCAATGTGTCAACTATTTAATCGACACCTACGGGCCATATGCAGCGAGCGCGATCTCAGCAACCACCATACTGAGATCCTTGTTGGCGGCGGGGCTGCCGTTGGCGGCGAAGCCCATGTTCCACAATCTCGGCGTGGGACCTGCTGCTAGTTTAATGGGAGGCATTGCTTGCCTGGCATTGCCGATACCGTTCGTCTTCATGAAGTATGGACGCACCCTGCGCGAGAAGTCAAAAATCGCACCAACCAGTTCAGACTAGTTCCCCTTGACATACCGCTGGCAAAACAAGAATATCCCGCTACCCCGCGTCGGAGGTGGTATGATGACCGACCTCCGACTGGAAATTACTCCATGATATACAGACAGCTTGAATATTGTGACCTGCTGCCTTCGTAATAAATCCGTTCTCTCTTTTAGTGAAATACAATGGAATTCCGTCGCGAGAATCGTTGAGCGGGCGGCAGAGAAGCATTTTCCAAGCCGGTCTCTCCATATAATACGGTGTAGCTAGGATGCCTATCCCGAACCTCTTCGGTCATAATAAACGAAAGCAGCTAATTCTTGCGAGCCCCCGCATTGCTCGGGTTTGAGATATATCCGTGAGTTTGGCTCCAGATAACTTCTTCAGATTTGAGCGGGGCAAGTGGTGCAGGGCTTAATTTTACAGAAGTGTCAAGCACAGCTTCTGTTAACATTATCCCTGTGTATAGACGTCACGGATGCCCTCCACATAATGAAGCAAGGAGAGGAGAATGCGATTCTACGTATGAGAAGGACCTGAAGACGTACAAAATGGCAGCAGTGCCAGAACGGCCCAATTGCCGAGGACATAATTTTGAATATCAGCCGTCCGTGTTGATCATACCCGCGGCTGCTGCATCTCGTTTCCTCACACTGCCTGCATAACAAACATCGGGTTGAATGCTCGGGCCCACTATCCAAACCAACCACTTGAGAACAGACTAGATATGGGGATTATGCGGGGTATGGAGATAGGAGAATGCAGGTATCGCGGAGTTGTAGATCATCTTCAAGCTCTGGCGGCTTACGCCCGCTGTAGACATATAAAGCTGAACAGCCCTCTTCCCATAACCCTCACTCTCGCACGGGTTACCGGTCGGAATAGTAGAGGCCTCACTTGCCTCAACCACATAATGCTTCTCATTCTCTTGCTCCTCGTCGGAGCAGTGGCATCCTCTCCCATTCACAACACCTTTACCTCCCCCATCGTTCACACCAACTATGGCGACATTCTAGGCACAACATCTCCCTACCGTCCCAACGTCCAAGTCTTCAAAGGCATTCCCTACGCTACACCTCCCACTGGTGAACTCCGCTGGAAGCCCCCGGTCGAGCCCCAGCCATGGACCGGCACGTACAACGCAACTGCCTTCAGCGCTCAGTGCCCCCAGTCCCTAAACATGGGCACCGGCCTCTGGACGACCGGTTCAACCGACCAAAGCGAAGACTGTCTCTACATGAACATCTGGACCCCAACCACCACTCCTTCCACCCCGCTCCCTGTCTACGTCTGGGCCTACGGCGGCCGCTTTGTCGATGGCTCCGGCGACGTCGTAACTTACGACGGCAGCGGCCTAGCCTCGCAAGACATCATCATCGTCACCTTCAACTTCCGCCTTGGCCCTCTCGGCTTCCTCGCCCACCCTCTCCTCTCCGCCGAATCCCCTCACAACAGCTCCGGAAACTACGGCCTCCTCGACATCATCGCCGCCCTGGAATGGGTGCAAGCCAACATTGCCTCTTTCGGCGGCGACCCTGCCCGCGTTACCATTGGCGGCCAATCCTCCGGCTCCTCCTGCTCCCTCGACATGATGTACTCCCCTCTCGCAGAGGGTCTTGTATCAGGAGTAATCGCCGAAAGTGGCGCGCGATCTCCCCGTGACCCCCTAACAGGAAGCCTGGCAACAAGCTATCGTCTCAAAGACGAAGCTGAATCCTCTGGCCTCTCTGTGATGACTTCCCTCAACGCATCAAGCCTCTCCGAAATGCGTGCCCTCCCCGTCTCAACCCTCCTAACAACCGACCTCCTCAATGCCACCATCTTCGACAACACAAACTACCAAAACGTCACCACCTTCATGGAACCCCCTGAGTGGCGCCCCGTCCTGGACGGCTACGTCCTCCCACACACCTACGCCTCTACCCTCTCGAACAACACCCACCCCAATATCCCCATCCTAACCGGCAACAACAAAGATGAGTCCGGCGCCGCCACAGACCCGGGGTACACACTGTCCACCTTCCGCTCGAACTTCTCCACCATGTTCGCGCCTTTCCCCCATCTCGCCGAGGAATTCTTATCCCTCTACCCGGCCAACGATACACAATCAACAACCCTTGCCAACAACGCCTTCTGGGCAGATCTCGGCAGAGTAAGTACCTGGGCTTGGGCACTAGATTGGTACGCCGGCGGCGCTACAGCTCCTGTGTACACGTATTTCTGGGACCATGCTCCCCCGGGGCAGAGCCTGGGTGCGTTCCATGGGAGTGAGATGTACTATGTTTTTGGAAACTTGCCGTATAATTATCCGGGTATGCCATGGACAGAGCGGGATTTTGAGATTGAGAGGGTGATGGTGGCGTATTGGACGAACTTCATCAAATATGGGAATCCGAATGGGGAGGGGTTGGTGAGGTGGGAGGCTAGTGGGAAGAAGAAGGAGACAATGTATTTGGGAGATGGCTTTGGGAGGGGTGAGTTGACGGATGGGGAGGAGAGAAGGGAGTTGATGTTGCAGTGGCTGAGGGAGTCGGAGGTCTGGTAAGCATGCTATACAGGACAGGGGTAGTTGGATAGGAGGGGCGAAGGAGTAGAGAGATCTGCATGATACCTGAATACAGCAAGCGTTGCTTTTGGAGCTTCTCTTCTCCACCATCATCAGTAAGGTACAATATATTATCCTTACGAGCCACTACCGGTAGCGGAACTCTATTGACGTGTTTCCTTGGCAGCTGGATGATATTCCGCATATAGTATTTTATATGCTAGCATCCCAGTCGGGCTGATACAAGGATGAGGCGGCTAGACTAATGCTTGTTTCGAGACCGGCAGTTCCCAATACTCTACTCATTTCGAGTGATTGTTCCTGTATAAGTTTGCGTAAGCCAGCACGTCACAACATACCATATACATGTCTAAGCCATATGGCCAAAAGTCCTAGGAACAGCAACCAGCAGAGAAACCGGCGCTGAGGAACTCTAAAGCCCTTATGCCTAGTACATGGTCCGCGAGCTTATACAAGTTTTCATTGTACACAAGATACTTGGAAAAGAAGTCGATTGAATGCAACATACCCTGTTCCTGGCGTATGGCCACGTCATTATTTAAGTTGATGTAAGCGTCACCAATATAAACCCCCAGTGGCAACCCTTAAATTTATAGTTTCGCGATCATTCTGCAACATATAAACACTCCGTATGACAATCACAAAGGCTTCCCTTCACGAGAAAGCACTAAAACACGAGATAAAACTTATCCCAAAAGCGTGCGCTAACAGTTCAAGCAATTCTGCGGTCACACAACTAAACACTAGCCAGCCCAGATACAATGCCTACTTAAAATATCAAGCATATCAAGTATTATAACACTGAAAAGGTATATGGCTTTCTGCACCCAGAATCTGGAGGACCGGACATGTTCTCTTCCTCTTCAGCGGTTGATGCGAGCGAGTCGAAACCCTTGGGGAATCCCAGTACGTATCTTCTGATATGGTTCATGGGGACAAGTGTGTATAAGCAGATAGCACTAAGGTGATATTCTAGTCTTGATCGTTGGAAAGGTGGCCCAATCGATTGTCATCTCTAGTGGCATGAAGAAGGCTTCCGGTTATTCGCTAGCTGTTTGCCGCTCCCTTATTCATTCTGTACTCTTGATTTTGAGACACAATATAATCTTGTTTTCGAATGTAACTTCCTAGTTGGCTTTTATGGGTTCTTTGTTCACTTTATAATCAGCGGCTATCCTTCAATCACAGAACCTGAGAACGGTAAATTTGAGCGCTGAATCCGTAATTCAGGATCTTCAAGTGAGATAGACATTTTGATGGAAATTACCAAGTAAAAGCTTCTTCGAAGTACCGTATCCCACGACACCCCCTTCTCATGGCCTCATACACCGCTAACCGACACTCATCTGCCATCATACCCGGTCCAGAGCAAAGCACCCCAAGCCTCGTGCTGCACTCGCGAGCGATTTCTGCTTCATTTTCCACGGCTCCACGGATATCAGGACGACCATTGCAGAAATGTATATTTGATGTAGTGTTAATAGCAACCTCCTTATCGATAGCTTCAATCTCAATCGGTGACATCGGATCACCACCGGTGCAGAAAAAGCTGATAGTGACACCCTCGCATTGCAACACGTGGCTCAATTCATCAGAGAGTACAGTAGTGAACACATCCCTCTGACGAGCCGACCATATAAGATGGAGTCTGGTCGTCTTCGTGGCTTGGGAATCTAACCGAGCGGCATAATCGAGTATATATGGCAGCGTAGCTGCGATACCCGTTCCACCGGCAATCAGCAGCACCGTGTCGAAGGTATGCAGTGGTGCGGTGTGGCCATATGGACCTTCTAGTAGAAGGAGTGGTTGTATGGTATTCTTGGCCCTGGAGCAACGATCACGGAGGGTCTTCGTCCATCCATTGTAAGGACGGATGTAGAAGGTCAATCTGCTTTTCTCCTTCAGTGAACGGGATGATGCTTGGGCGTATGCACCCAGTGCGAACGGGTGACTTTCCAAACAATGTACGCTGAGTGGTTGCGAGATGAAGTAGTGTTGACCTGGTTTGAGGGCAAGATGTGGAGGTGCCTCAGTGTCTATCATTATTAGATCGCTGTCAGGATTGTATGTGACCGATGATGATGGGAGGGAGATCTGTAGTTCGCTAAATCGTATTTGAAGGTTGCAGTATGCGATCCGGGCTATGCGAAAAATGCGATCGAACATCCATATTGCGACTACGGTTCGGAGGTAGGGGTTCCACTGGGGACCGTCGGGGCGGGTGTGTCTAATGGGTCAGTATTGGAGTGAGGAAGGGAAGGAATAGACCTACTGGAATAGAGCATATATAATTACAATGGCGAGTATGATATGGGAAAGGAGGAATACCTCGTACCACTTGCGACGTAGCCAGGTGACGGAGTGAATTAACAATACTGACATGGCAATAATGGCCTGAAAGTTATTAGCTTAGTTAAGGAGAAGGTGTATTGATACTCACTATTACACCCATGTACCACGGTTTGTGGCTCCATGCTTCATGGTATGCGTCCTCTAAACTGTAAGTAACGTGGTTGAGGTGAAGACGTAAGGCTTACCATAGTCTGCTAGAATGATGCTATAACCAATCGAGTGAACAATGGCAAGTAGTGTACACGCCCATGCTATATGCCGATGGAACGTGCTGAAAGATTGAATGTCGAAGTTGGTTGCCCAGAGGAAGATGTTGTTGCGCCCGGTAAATAGCCACAAGAACGGTAGACAAGCGTATGCGAGAATTCCCGTCCGATCGGACGTATAATGCCAATTGCGCTGGGGCATGGTCGATGTCCTAGTGTTGTTAGCTAGGAACATAGGGAGTTGCGAGGGTCTTACCTGATAGCTCCATTGTAGTTGACACAAGCTAAGAGGACACAGAGAATCCAGAATCCGGAAACAATTAGAAAATCAAGTCGTTTGGGGATACTATGTCCGTAGAGAAGTCGCTGGTGATGAGAAAATATGGGGGTGAAGCTTGCTGGGACAACAATATAGGTACGCAAAGCATAAGAGATTGAAGACAGCGGGGTAGGGATTTGCTTGCATTCTATGGGTCCAGAGACTGCATTGGCTTCAGCATCCCTGCCTGAGTCAAGAGCCCGCCTAGCAGACCAAAGGCTGAGGATCTTCTGCGCCATCCCAAATACCAGGATAGCTACCCAGTACCCCATAAGTCCCCAGCCAAAGCGGATATCCTGACCCAGTGCTTTATCATGAATTACCTGTAGTAGGAGTTAGGCTGCCTTTATGGATTGAACGTCAGATGTACATACACATGTTTTGTATGCCCGCCTATAGTATGACTCGCTCAAGAGAACGGGATTCTTTATGGTACCAGTAGAGGCAGTCGTATTGACATCTGGATCCACAATAGACATTGAGGTGTAAGTTGTCGATCTATTGGTTTCAAGCGATGAAATGTCGACATCGCACACCTCCTGCCAGAATGATACACTAGCGGCTGGACTATTTCCATCACACCTTGCCCTCGCACTCGCATACATAGAAGCGATTTCCACGGTGCTGTTGCATATGCTGTCAAAGTTCGTCAAAGTCTGTATATAGCTTTCTTCGGCAAAGAAGGCCGTCACCGATATTGAATGGTTATAGCTTCCACCAGCAGGTGTACCAGAGAATGTGTATTGTGATAGAGCAGTGTATATCGGACAAAGGCAGTCCGCGTCCAGGCTACTGACGGCATCATCGAAACTTTTCTGCTTCGCCATAGCCGGGACGAAGATGGCTAGAAAGGAAATTCGCAAGAGCATCTCGTTTGTCAACGCCGGTTCTGTAACGAACAACGTCTTGTTGTGCCGCCAGGCCAATTATAGGTTAATCACCCGGATAAGACATTTTGACTTTCTTCAAGGTCCTTCAAACATGGCACAGCCAACAATCATTCCAGCTATAATAACATGATGTCGTTGCCTGGAACAGCGTGTCGATGCATCGACCCAATGTGCGGGAGCGGGGCATTGGCTTGGAAACGGTGGATATGAAGATCTCGCAGATGACCACGGAAGGAGGCCCGTAGGAGGGTGTTCAGGCGGCCTTTGGTCCGCATGAGGGGGAGGGGCACCATGAGGGGATGATTGGGGATAAAAAGATACTGGGGCTGTTGCAAGATACACGCAGGAAATGGAAGGCACCACGAGATCGACATTGTTGCTTGCTTATTTGATAGCCCCTACATCATAGCCTCGACAGTAATGGTCACTGTAGTCAAAAGATAAAATTGCAATCACAAAAAGCAAATAAAATTCAGAAATGTCCACGGATCTACAAGTGGTAGGCAGCACAGAAACAAGCCTTCCTTCGATTCTTGGCTGTTCTGCACGATGGCTATGGACGGGACAGGATGCATGAAGTATCGAGACTAATTTAGAACAGGCTCAATTGTCCCGTCAATTTGGGTCGGTCGGACACGTGTAGAAAGGCGACACGACCGGCAGTTTGTTTTACAAATCTCCAATCAGGGACCTTGGAGGTTGCTTTTTCTCAGGCAGTTGGGGACTTTGTTTCGCAGGAACTGGCATGAATACTGAATAATATCCATTTACCGTGTGGGATGGACATTATCTTTGGATGCAAGGCTTATCTGAAACAGCGGCTTCCATGAAAACCCGACTATATGATGTTTCTATCTACAGCCCTCTGATTCTTCCAAACTACACGTCTTCACAATACATCATCCTTCTTTCCATGGCGCAAATACTTTCACGGCATATAAATACGTCAGGCAGAATTTCCCCGCAAATGCTTCTCCTCATCCCAGTTGTTTATTTATTTCTTCTCCAAATATTTAGCCGAAGCCTCTCTAGCAAGGTATCCCAATGATGCGACATCCGACTGAACCGCAACCCCGCATTCCACCTGCAAGCAATCCGGTCCACCCTTTCCTGAGTGGCTGGGCTATTGACATCAAGTCATCAGATTCACAAATTTGCTTGTATGACATCGTGGCATCGGTATGATGCTGAATACTTGGTGGACAATCTCTGGTCCGAGCCATTGGTATTTTCCCCACGATTACACAATAGGCTGCTCACGAGGCCAGGAAATCAAAGCAGACTAGTAGAAAAAAGATAGAGAGCCGAAGATGAGCAGAGGGATACGCTGCTGGACAAGAGTCCAAACATGGATATTCACAGAGAAGGTATAGTGATGCAAAAAACCCGAGTTCTATGATCTGGTTCAAACATCGGGTTTATCCACTTTGCTATTTATGAGAGAACATCCACGCAGCTTGCTATCACAAATAATAGGTAATCATGCTATGCTACAGTCAATAACCAAAGGACGAAGTTATCGCTACCCGTTATCAAAACCTAAGACTGTTGTCTCAATGAATCACCAGGACTTATATTCTCTGGGCTGTACATACTTGCAGTTTTCGTAGAACATATCACCTGACTGCTACTGTTGTCTCATTTGTTCTTCTCAGTAATAGCCTTCAATGACCCTTCTTGCTCCTCTCCTTCATTCATGCGCTTTCTCCCAACAACCCTCTTTTCCTCAACCTATAATATCATGAGATGCCATTGCCCTAGCGCCCATGCCCTGGCTAAGAAGTAAGATCTACCTATCACTAACACGGGCACAATAATCATGGTCAAATAATACTTGTTTCTTGACTATATATGCATGATAACATCACTCATTTGAGGCATAGGGCGCGGACACCAGCATCTTAATGCCCGTCCTGAGAGGCCAGTACACAACTAGTCTCGTAGACTAAATGCCTCTGATGGTAAGTATGGTATGGACTGACAGATCCTTGGCGCACCCCTAATGTCAAGTTTCCGAGGCTATCAAATATTATGCAAAGTTAATAAGCCTATATTCAGAGCATTTGCAAGACATGTAGGCATCTCCAGTATACTATATAGATATTCACAGCCAGAGCAGGTGCTATTTGGAATGGAACGGTGAATTATCCCATTGTATAGATATATATATCTCAGTCACCGATCACTGGTCATTCCCCAGAGGTAGTGACTATTATCGCCCTTCAAGCGGGAATATCAATACTGCCAAAATATATATATAAACCACCATCCTCCACCTATCTCCTTCCATCCTACACCTCTCAACTCTACTTAACATTCCAAAAAAGGAAGGTATATAGCAATCTTTCGCGGTGATCGACAGCCTCCAGCTGACAAGATGTATGGGTGGTGGCAAGCAGTGAAGAGCCAATGGATATTACTCCGCGAGAAGACTGGGAATATCCGAAGCCAACAGCGCTGAATGGACAACGAGGGCAATCAGGATTAAAATCTGTGCATTATCCCGTATACCGGAAATGATCCGCTGTGCCATCCTGGCCAATGGAAAACGCCACGTACAGTCCCAACACCTGGAAGTGATAAGGTGTATAAGAATGGACGGGTACAACAGCCATCCAGACTAGAAAAGAATCGTGTATGGAACAGTGATGCCGGTTATTACGACCGTGATGCATGCATAAATTGTGCTTGGAAGATCGGTCAATATCAAGACCTTCTGCAATCTTATTGACTTCAGCTCTGAATTGCTAGATACCTCTGTAAATACTTTGCTATGCAGGTATTGTATTTCTCTGAGTCACTATCCGATGATGCCAGTCTTGACAGGCGGAGAAAAAGTCAGAATATGTGCGTCATAGCACAGTCAGGATCGAGCACGGCTATCACCGTTGCTGCATTTGAAATAAAACCAAAGATAATACTTCGGGCGAATCAATCGGACTAGAAAGTATTATCTATCGCACGGAAGGTACTGATGTTCCAAACACGATCAATTACACAAGGTTTATACAACAGAGTAAGGAAAGGGCTATATATGATATCACCTGGAATGGTGAGCCAGCCATAGCCAATGCTGGCCAGAAAGCTGGTACAGAAGGTTTGAAAAGCAGCCCGAGGGTATGATTACAAGACTGATTCCATTTCTTATAGTTATACGCAAGAAATGTCCGTTTATGTTAGACTTGAGAGGCCGCAGGGCTATGGTTCGTTTTTCTTGTAAATGAATCATGGCGAGAATTTATTATTCTTTTCTGTTGCCGAAGGGGTACATTCAAGTTATCTCTCAGGCCCAGGGCAAATTCCTAATTTCACAGTTGAGTACCCTTCCAGCTAGTGCAAAGATTCATATTCGTTTTGAAGTCTACAAAACCATAAAGGTCCCCCGAGAACTTTCACTTGTCTGTATTGATTCTGGAAAGCACAATGTGTTCTATGACTGTGCAACCAACGCCGTTACTATGGTCGACTTTGAGCTGATGCAGCCTGTCGAACCAGAACTTGTCAGTCCGCATCTTCCAGAAATTCATGCGATCTTCAGCTCGTCCAAGGATTCGCCACTCGGGAGGATAAGGGAGTGTCTTTTGGTTGCGCGTGCTTTACCCAGATCTATCCTTGTCGGCTTCCGTTTAGAAGGATTTACCTTTTAAAGCATAATTCGACGGTGTGCTTAGCACCTAGTCTCAGGGTAAATATCTATTTAGTATGCTGGAACTGGCCTAGCTTCCTTGCTGTAGGGGAAGCGGCATATGGAAGGACCCGGAACATCTTCTGTTAATGGTTGATAGTGATTGGAGTAGCTATTTCCCGAGACGTAAATGCCGCGCCTCCGCAAATGGTTGTGAGTAGAGCTTAGGTGGCGCTCACTGCCAACCAGATTCGTTATCTTTTCCTGCCTTGCCGCCAGACCCGAGCTATAGACAAATGTACAAAAGAACCTGTATATGGACTTTGAGAGCAGCTAGAAGGACCGAGAAGAACATAGAATAGGCGACAATGCGATAGCAATGCCACGTTCTCTGCCAAAAACACGACTAATTCTGTGCGCGTGACTATAGCAAAACGTGGCGGGTCTACGAATTAATGTAGTTAAATATAGCTAGACAGGTCTTGTGACCTGCCAACTTTATCACAAAGCTGGAGCTTCCAAAAGCTTCGATGCGTGCAGACCACAACACGATCATTAAAACCGGCTATTATTGCGGTCCAGCCAGCCAGCAATGTGCACTGGACGGGAATCCGGCCCAGATCCGACAGCCGAGGAGAAGGCAAAGAAGGGGAAGGCGGGCTTCTGGGCCCGGCTGGGCCAATGCGGTAGTTGAGTTAGTTGGATTAGTTGAATTGGTTAGCGGTGGCAAGGTTTAGTCACGGGGTTGTGCCACAATCAGAAATCGTTCCTGAACCAACAATTCCATCCATTCCATCGGCCCGAGCAGGGGCGTGTCCCATTGAAAAATTCTGCCTCGTGTTCCTGGATTCGCTCGATCAGGTCATCCCGTGGTTGACAATGCCCTTGTTGGCTTTCCTGCCACTTCAGCAGCAGTAGCAAGAGCAGCAGCAGCAGCAGCAGCAGTCATGCCACACTTTGCGTTGGCCACCCAGGGCAAGGGATAGCTACAGTAACCCCAATTCCGGAGATCGGCGCTTGGCTTTCCAGCTCAATTCAAATGGAGGGAAGAACACCGCCTTTTCGAGTTGGCGACAGCCTCAGGCTAGTAATTAAGGTTAACTTTTTCCAGTAAAGTCTGTCGTACTCCGTACATCTTCTGGGGGGGAGAAGCGTGGCTTGCTATCATTCATGGAGCCAGCTGGGATTACTGTATCTACCCCCGGTCTCTCTACCCTCCCCAAGGCTTAAAGGGTAGTACCAAGACTGCTCTATCATCCGTAACAAAAAGACCTCAGGAGATCTTCCCTGCCAACTCAGCGAGGCCATGACATGGCGTCTATCAAGCCGGTCGCTGGGAAAATGTCGGTGTCATATTTTTAGGTCGCCTGATCGTCACGAAGAGTTTTCCCCAATCCTTAGTGTGCGGGCGAAGAGTTGATGCTCGCCCCTGAATGGATTGCTTCCGGCGTTCCACTCCATCCATCGCGGTGGGCCCTCCCACACCCCCTTCGCTTTCGGTATTTATTCTGGCACGCCTTGGGGGGGCGATCCTTTTTTTAATCCCCATCAGCTCTCCAGATCAGCCACACTTCCACTCTTTCTTCCTCAGTTCCAATTCCAGGTACTGATTTCCTTCACCACCATGGCTTTCGATTGCTACTGCGCAATCTGCGGTGTTGGTTTCTGTGGCATGCACATCGAGGCGCCGTCGGAGACGGCCCTCGAGCGCCGCAGGCGGTGGATCGAAAAGCGATGCCGGGCGCTGCAAGCCGGCGAAGACTTCAGGCAGGTGTCGCACGAGGGAGAGGAAAATGAGGAGCCCGTCCGCAGCTACGACCCTCGCATCGTGGGCTGGGACAATATTTCCTGGTTGTATAAGGCACACTGCCTGGGTGTGGATGAAAATGCCAAATCGGGTGCGCCAAAGTAGGTGCTGCTGCTGTTCGCGCGGTCGGAGAGACCCGTTTAACAATCTTTTAGAGCGTTTCTCTCGGATGAAGGATATTATGCCGATATTGTAGGCGCTCTCACTGAGTGCGACGTTTTCGATCGAAGCTAATTACGTATCAGGGCGAGTTTGTCGTCAAGGCCAAATCTGGTATGCTGATGAGCCGATGTGCTTCAACTCATGGTTTTTCATGGTTATTGACCTTATTTAGATGGTTCCCGGTCGCGCTCTCAGCGCGTTTATTCATGGTGTGACATACCCACTTCGTAGACTCGTCTTGTTGACCCATTCTGACCGTTCAAAGCTATGGCCATGGCTCGGAGGAAGCGCCCGGTCCTGTCTTACCGTTCCACTGGGGCTGTTTTGAAATCTTGACTCGCGCACTGACGGGGACGACTGACACTAAAAACGTCAACCTGGACGTGTTGTACAATATCATGACGCCGTTGTGCAACATGTCCGGGTCTGCCCTGCAATTGAACTACGGAGACGACATCCAGCGCTCGCAAGGCCGCTACTGGGAATGTATCCCGGGCGCAGAGGCAAGCATATCTTCGCCGAGCTCTGTCTAAACTATGTTAACGATCGGAGCAGTACTGTGCCGCCCACCCGGTAGAAACACCCGGACTCGACGAATACCTTCAAAGCAATATGGAGACAAATAGCGGCTTGAAGACTCCGTTCGCGAAGCTGGATCTCCGCGACCGGAAGCCTATCAGCCCATTCGGCAAACTGCCCCTTGAAATCGTTTATCAGATCTGCAAATTCTTGCCTAGCGATTCGCTGAAAGCACTGGCCGAAGCCTCGTTGTACATCCACCTCGTCACCCAGGACAACCTATTCTGGAAACAGTTTATGCAGAGCAACATGCCCTGGTTCTGGGAGCTTCAGGCAGCAAAGAACCAGAAGATCCCCGCGGATCTCAATTATAAGAGGATGTACATGTGGCTCGATAAGATGACTGCTCCGCGGTACGGCATGGACGATGTGAAACTGATTGGTGTCGCCAACCGGAGACGCATCTGGGGTGTATGCGAGGATCTTGCGGATCGGTACTCCAAGAGCCTGAATCAGCCCACAGTTAGTGCGATGCAGTGGGGAAGTGGCTGAGGGAGTGTACTCTATGCTGTGATAAGATGGAGAAATAGTCCCGCCTGACAGGCTTGCGAGATGCCCGACCGATGGCTCCCCACGACGCGCTTCAACCTGAGCGTACGACACGTCGTTACAGATTCGACCATTTATGGGGATCTCGTAACGCGTGTGACCTGGCGATATGGGATCAATCACAAGTAGCTTGCTACATGAGCAAGGTGAAAGTGACAGGGAGACTGGAAACAGTTCATCCCCTCGTTCAGGTTCGCCAGGATGTGGAGAACCAGGTTGGGCACGAGACTTGGGCGATCAAATCATGTGCTGCGGAGTACTTCACTCGATACCTTAGCACTAATACTTACCCTTTATTACCAAGAGCTGTAGAGTTGTGTCTCATAAAGCCAACAGATTTTTAATCGTTCATTGCTGGAGGGAGTCCTGTTTTGGGAAGTCTACAGTCAGCTGCATATCAATGGTACAGCGCAAAACTCCATGCATTGCCATCAAGTCCATACATCAAATTGTACTTCCTCTCATTAGAAGAAAAGAACATACAAACACATGCCAACAAAACCCACATATGTTGAATTGAAAGCACACAAAAACACAATATACCCTTCATCGTAACCACTCCTCCAATCAATCCGTCTTATTCTTCGCAAACCTCCCCGTAAACCTCCGAATCTGCTTCCCCCAAATAAACACCGGAATCCCCAACAGCCCAAAAGCCGCCGTCAAGGCCGCATAAGTCCCAAAAGCCCCATCATACCCATGAAGCGCAATGAACGGCGACACGGCATAACTCGTCCCAAAGGAAATAAAACCCCGAAACGCACAGATAATAACCAACAAAGGTCCCGATCTCCCAGGATAACTATCAAGCAGGTACGTAATGCCAACGATATTTGCTCCAACAAAACAGAAGTAGTATGCTGCTACCGTCCAGGCATATATGAACCAGTGGTACTCGTACGGGTGGGCGCCGCCTTGGCCATATAGCGCGGCAGTGAAGGTGCCAACAATGATAGGGAAAATGAGAGGGATGATGCGGATTTCCGGCTCGTGGATGCCGTTGTTGCGATTGGCGAAGTATTTCACTAAGTAGTCGGAGCCGTGGCCGAGAAGGGGGAGGGCGACGATAGCGACGATTATCTGGCCGCAGTTGATGTAGCTTGCGCTGCTGTCGGGCCAGTTGTAGGGTGGATCGGCGAGGATGGTGCTGTAGGTGGTGCCAATGGCGACGTTTACACCGATTGTGAGGCCGTTGAGAAGCAGGGCCCAAAGGACGTTCGGGAAGAAGAGGAGCTCGAAGGTTTGCTGGCTGGGGTTAGAAATGATGTAAAGATGGTTCTGTCTGCACAGATATGGACTTACTCTTAGCACGTCCCAGGTCTCTGTCCACTGGGGCTTCCCGACCCAGAGTCGCATGTCGGATTTCCATGTACGAGGTGCGTATCTCTCGTAGTCTAGGGCGGGGCGAATGGTGCATACCTCGGCTCCTAGGTCCTTTTTCAGGTCAGAAGATGTGCTCGTTGGGTCGGAGTCCGTTTCCTGGTAGGATGTGAGAGGACGGTCATATTTTGTTTCGGGTAGGAGGACAAGAGCAACTAGAAGCAGTGCTCCAGCAAGACCGGCTCCAAGCCCGTACCATCCCTCTGGTGTGATCGACTCAGCGATTGGGCCGGCGAATAGTGTCCATACGGAGGTTAGAGTGACCTGGATGGCTAGTTGTGCCATAAGGGCTTTGCTGCGTTCATGGAGGAAGAAAATCTCCTGGTGGGAGTAAGCTAAAAGTATGGTTCAGAGTGATGTCGCAGGCCACGTACCTGGGTAATCATAGGAATCAATGCCTCACTCTGTCCGGCTGCTAAGCCAAGCACCATCCGGGCACCAAGGTGCCATTCGTAGGTCTTCGCAGTTGCGCATAGCACCGATCCGAGGACGAGCACGACGGTTGAGGTCAGGAGGACGATTCTCCTTCCTATGCCGATTGCTATTGGCATACCAATGAGGTTCCCGATGCCCCTGGCCCAAAATCAGCTCCGTCTCGTATGTGGTACCGATCTCACATACATGAACAACGTCGGATATGTCATCAAATGGGTAATATATCATAGTCCTTCCCCGCGGCAGTATATCCTGGAATGTAGAATTGTAATAGTCCTCCGAATCCACTGACCAAAGCGAGACCCAGACATGAAACTGCACACGATCAGGGAGTGTTAAAGAAACTTCTGGGATAGTCAACAACGTACAGATAGAAATGACAATTAGAATGATGGACTTTTGCCAAACCGACATATTCAAGGGGTCTGTTCATCGTTATTCCTGACATTGCTCCCCGATAGAAGAGTTGCTCACCCTGTGGGTCAGCGGTGGGAGTAGGAATATACACCACCGTCCCCTCCGTGATCTTCACGGTGCCCATCACCTTCCCCTTAACCCTCGTCAATCCTCCCTCCTCCATGTCTTCCACGTATACCACATCTTTCTTTGTGGTGTCATCCATTATGGAAGACTGGCGGGTGGATGATGTGTGCGTTCTGTTTCCCCACAGAGGGTGTGAGCGGTGGTAGCATGGGGTATGGCCCAGCTGATCGTAGATATATACTCGACATACTACCAGTTAATAGGCGTGTGACATACAGTGGGCACAGCAAAGGCAGATTACCTCGCTACACCACCTCCATAACCGTGCCGAACCTTAGCTGTGACAACTATAGCTGCGAAGCTAGCAAAGCTTCCCCGCATTCCGATAGCAAACTCGCCACTAATGGCCTCGGGGAAGAACTGGCTCGGGGGCCTCACCGAGGTCTGGTGCTCCGAAACCTAATACTGCCACTTCGGCGGGGTCAAGTTAAGTCGGGGCAAAAGCTAATATCAACGCTACGAGTCATGTCACACAAGTCTCAATTGACGTATCAAAAAGGGTTTTCAGTACTGTTGCTTACAACTTAAATCTTGTTGAGACATTCACTGCAGCCAGGCAAGCATTACTCGATTTTCTACCACCTCTTCCAATCTTCAAACATCCTCTTGAGATCAGATAGATCAAATATACATACATTCCTCCCTCCGTCTTGACAGATTACTTGGACAGTGTGAAGGCCATCAAGGAGTAGTGTGCACAAAAATTCTCATGATATTGAACAACTATCTGACAGTCTGTATACATATACGTAAAACTACCTAGTAATCTTTGACGCCCGCCAGCTTGAGCACGGTGTCAGTTAATTCTGGCTTCTCATAAGGCTCAGTCCGATCCTTAGGGCAAACCTTTCCATTCCTCATCGGCTTGTCTGTAGATGGGCGGATATTGCTACAAAAATTAGCATGTACGTCAATGCAGGCAGCAGACAGTTACATACCAGTGAGGCCAGTGGGTAGTTCCCATGTAATTCTCGAAACAATACTTCTTCAGCTCCAGGGCCTTCTCGGTCGCAAATCGCTTCGGCGTCATACAGACATACTGGACGTGACGGATCTGGTCACCTTCGGGCAGACAGGCATAATGCATGGTCCGAGAATCCCAGAGGACCAAGTCACCAGGGTCCATATTAACCTTGATGAGCTCGCAGCCGCGGTCCTCGAACCACTTGAGATCCCTCTGGTGGAAAAGGAACAGGTCCATGTACTTCATCTCCGGTGGCGGAGCATCCTCGTGGTCGTAGGGGTCACGGTCCTGAGCGAAGAATTCATCGAAGAGTTTGGCAGAGCCTTTCATGAGCATAAGACCGCCGTCCTTGGGGCCGTTGGGGGCAAAGTTGACTAGGCCTTGCACTGCTTGCATGCTATAACAATATCAGTGTCCTGCTGTCTATCTCAGCCTCAACGGTGACTTACCCCTTCCGGTTGGGGTTCTGATCACAGTGTGGCCAGGGACTCCAGTTGACATCCTTCCGACGGGGAAGGGAGATGTTCATGCCATCAAAAGAGCTGAGTAGCTCCTTGGTCTCCCAGAGCTTCTCGAAGATCTCGATGACAGCTGGCTCTGTTCGAGCTTCCCAAGCTATCTTCTCATGGGGTGCTGCGTAGCCATAGTACATGCTGATCTTCTGTCAGTAGTGGTCAGACACCTAGGGAAGAAGGGAACTTACCCTCCCTTGAAGCTGATAGGAAGATGCTCAGTAGTCCAGGTACTCTCATCATTCTCATCGAACCCAAGGTCGAAGCTCTTCAGCCACTCGATCTGCTTATCGCAGTAGTACTTGGCCCGTTCGGGACTAATCACGTTCTTGATAACAACGCAGCCGTTCTTGTGGAACTCATCTCGCCAATCGCCGTAGTGGCGGTCGCTGAAGTCAATCAGGTCCTTCACTGTGTAGGACTCGTTGGTCGCTTCAGCGATCTCCTGGATGACGGTAGTTGTTGACATAGTGTTATTTTTTGCTCAATGTGCACTTTGATCAATAAGATTGGATGTGGATATTGGTTCTTTCGTCTGCCTTCGAGTGGGTGTTCAAAATTCACTTAAACATCCAGCAGCTCTCAGCGCCGAAGGGCTATCTTCGTGCCCCGAAGCTCGGGGGCCTTGGCAGGTCTGGAGCAATGCGGGGAGCCCCGAACACCCCGCCCTTGGCTTCGGGGGAGTTACTGACTTCGGGGCTGCCCGAGCTTCGGTTGCTAAAGCCCCGAGACATGTGCAATACAGATAGCAGAAGGCGGGGAAGACCATGATGAATAGACAACTTAAATGTGAAGAAATTGCAGTATGATTTGCCAGAATCATTGAAAGCCTTAAACGCAATAAACTAACATCACGTGTTACATTGAAAATGCCTCCACCAGTCCAAGTCGCTTACAAACGTATCAAATCCCCGAAAGAGGGTGAAAACGGCTACGTGAGACCTCAACCAGGCAAATCAGAGGTTCTTCCGGCGGGATGGAATGGATTCAATGCCAAGCCCATACAGAGCGACATTCGCATCGACCACGACGTCGAGATCGTTGCCCGTGATGGCGCAAGACTCTATGTCGACGTTTACCGGCCAGCGGACTCTACCGAGAAAGTCCCCGCCGTACTAAGTTGGTCCTTCTACGGCAAAAAGTACAGTGCACTCGACATGTTGCCCATGTGCGTGTGGAACTGCTGCGTACCGCGCTCTGATCTGAGTGGTCTCGAGAAATTCGAGGGCCTCGACCCAGCGACATGGTGTCCACGTGGGTATGCAATTGTCAGTGTTGACACACGTGGAGCAGGGAACAGTGACGGTCTCATCACCGTTATGGGTTCTCAGGATGCGGAGGATGGATACGACGTCGTTGAAGCCATTGCGAAGATGGACTGGTGCAATGGATGCATCGGTATGGCGGGGAACTCGGCCCTCGCGATCTCTCAATGGTTCATTGCTTCTCAACAGCCGCCGTCCCTCAAGGCTATTGCACCATGGGAGGGTTCGGGTGATATCTACCGTGAGCAGTTTTGCCGCGGTGGATGGTTCTCTATGAGCAATTTTGATCTAATCACAAACGAAATTGTTCGCGGACCGGCCAACTCCGGCATTGAGGATTTCGAGGAGATGTACCGTCGCTCGCCTGTGTCTAGTCCCTTCTGGGAGGATAAGAGAGCAGACATGACCAAGGTGCTTTGTCCAGTCTATATCCGAGGCTCAGATGTGAGCTCCATCCACACCATGGGGTCTGTTCGAGCCTGGCTACAGCTTCCACATGATAAAAAGTGGATTCGCTGGGGAAGCAAACAGGAGTGGTACGAACTCTATAGCTGCCCGGAGTCCATGGATGAACTTTTCGTTTTCTTCGATCGCTATCTCAAGGGAGTCGAGAATGACTGGGAGAAGACCCCTAAGGTGCGCTGGTCTGCGCTGCAATTCGGCGATCGAGAGGCTATCGATGATATCGTCCTCGAGGACTTCCCATCACCTACCACCGAATACCGAGAATTCTTCCTCTCTTCGGAGAAACTCCACCCAACGTTAGTTGGGTCTTACGAGAAAATCTCCTACGACTCGGAGCTCTCATCCAGCTTCGCCGAATTCTCATACACCTTCGACAACCCAGCAAGACTAATTGGTCTACCTAAGGCGATCTTATACATGTCTTGCGAAGAGCGAGATGACTTCACCGTTTTCGTCATCTTAAGAAAGAAGGACAAGAACGGAAAGCCGTTGATGCATCTAAATTTCCCATTCCACGCAACCCCGGTCAAATCGATTGACGAAATTTCCGAGAAGGAACAGTCCAGCACAAACCTTCATTTGGGGTCTAATGGTATTCTTAGAGCTTCACACCGTGCAATCGATGCGGAGAAAAGCATTCACCCACAATTTCCGTTCCACCCCCACACGCGCCAGGAGAAGGTTCGTCCTGGGGAAATTGTTCGACTTGAGATTGGCATTTGGGCAATGGGTGTGGATTTTGAGGCTGGTGAGACGATCAGCGTGCGGGTGAGTTACCCGGAGCCAACAAATCAGATAAGATCCAATTCATACTAACCATGAGAAAGGTATCTGGTCAGTACCCTAGCATTGCAGAGTATAAGACTTGGTCACAGCCTCGTCCGGAGGAGGAGCTCAATCGCGGGAAACACTTTATTCACTGTGGCGGGGAGTATCCTAGCTCTGTCATCTTGCCATTTATATAGAGGTTTCTTATGGATAAGTTATCTGGTCCATAGCTATGAGAATGTCACGGTCAACCTTCGAGCTAAGTTTCATTCTATTGTGGCTTAGTAGCTGTAGGAAGATTTAAGACGGGATGTGCCCAGCACAGCCTAGCCAGCGTAACCTTAAGTTTGAAAATACGCTCTGTATATTACAATAACATAGTAGTTCAAAAGAATTGATCCCAATGTCCTCAAAATATTATCTCATCATCATCCATTCCATGTCGAATAATCAACACCCCCTCACCGACATTTCAAGTGCGCAGCATCAATCATAACACTTTCAAGTAATTTGCTATTTGTCCCGAGGATTTATTCATTCCGCTTCTTGCAAATATAGATAGTCGCCCGCAAGAATTCAATATAGATGAAAGAAAGGTCCGGTTGCTGGATACTTTCGAGCTCTAATCGGCATCAGCATAAGTCATGATTCAATAAACGCGACCTGGACGGGCCTTCACCTGTCATGCAAGTTTTCCCGCCGATTCTTACTTCTCGATTTGGAGTACGGCATATAGAATGGTGCACACAGACCCACGGTCAAGTAGCCCGCCATAGCCAGTTTTGAGAGCATTGCCATGCTTGATAAGTACATAGGATTTATGATGGGAGTGAGTAGTCTTGCTTTATTCCTTGAATATGATATTCATATATGTTTATCGCGCATGCACAGTTCACGATACATTATGAAGTCCCGTTGGATTGAAAAAGGAATTTGCTCGTGCATTTGGGCTGCGATGGCCTATGAAAGACGTGCTGAAATTTACCAGTTCAACGTTAATATTCGGTATAATCCGAGCTGCATGAGGTAGCCTAAACGTTATCTGCATGAGAAAGTTTCCATCGGACCCTTCCTTGGTCTTCCGCCCCTTGGATGCTACTGAATATCAATATCCCATGCGCCGATTGGGCCCGAGGGACTCCGCACGCCACCTCGTCGACTCCCGAGGTCATGGTCACGATCCCAGACATTGAGTACCAGACGGCATCTGGAAGAGGATCGCAGCACATTGGCAGAGCTCGAACTGCTGAAGAAATGGTGGGAGATTCAGTAGCAGACTGGGAGCTTATTAACGCTGCCTATTGCTAGAATTAAAGGCATTTCCTTCGCCGATGAACAGGACAGGATTGGGATAGTAAGGATAGTAAGAATTTACCCCACTTCCCGACCTATTTCTAGTTGGATCTTTGCCTATGCGCCTTGGCAATCTTTGCATGCTCAGTTCCAATCGAATACTAAAATTAGTGTTTACTTGGGTTGAGTATTCTATTTGCTCATGCTGTTCATTCACTTGCTTTGGAAGTTGCTTTTGCGGTGTCCTCGGAATCCACTTTATGCAAGTGTGAAAATTGAATAGGCAACAAGGAATCATACGAGCGACGACCATGCGGATCCCACCCCTTCCAAGACAATATATAGCATCATATGGGAATTCAAACCCGGTGGGCCAAGATCTATGTAAAACGTTCGTTCTGCGGCAGCGAAATTGTCAGGAAGCACATTCCGTGGCAGAGATACCCACTTCGGCCAACTCCCTCAGCCCTACATGGTCTTCAATGACCCATGTTCACTAATCAACTTGATCCCTCGGTTGAAGAATAGTAAACAATCAAGTAGAAGCACATGTATAATTGACTATCTATCTGGAGTACCGACTAAGAGCACGGTTTCTATCCTTCCACCATCCTGTCATACACTATGTCCTCTATCCTCCAAGCAGACGTCTACGTCTCTTCGCGCCTCCCGCTGGCAGTAAAGCGAGCAGGAGAGCAAAGTTCTTTCTCCCCAATCTCCTGCACCCTAATTCACGGGGACGCCGAGGCCGTCCTCGTCGACACGCCCATATCTATTGCCCAAACTGAAGACCTAGTCTCCTGGATTAAAGAAACCGCCCCAGGAAAATCTCTTCGTTATGTCTACATCACCCACGGCCACGGCGACCACTGGTTCGGCATAACCGTACTCCGAAAGCACTGGCCCAATATACGTGCACTAGCTACCCCCGGCACCGTCGCGCATATGATGGAACAACTTAAGCCGGAGATATTCGAAGGAATGTGGCTTTCTCTCTTTCCAGGGGATCAGATCCCAAAGTCACCTGAGGTTGCTGAGGCGATGGAATCACCCGTCTTCGAGATAGAATGCCATAAGTTCCGGGCTGTAGAGGTCGGACATTCTGATACGTATAATACGACTGTCTTGCATGTGCCTAGTATCCGGCTTGTCGTTGCGGGCGATGCGGTCTACGGGGATGTGCATCAGTATTTCGGGGAGGCTAATACAAGAGAGAAACGAAGGGAGTGGCTTCGTGCCCTGAGGATTATCGAAGCTCTTAAGCCACATACTGTTATTGCCGGGCATAAGAGGGCTGGGACGGTTGATGGGATGTTCAATTTACAGAAGACTAGGCGGTATATCTTGGATTTTGAGGAGGTTGTTGACTCGGCTACTAGTTGGAAGGAAGCCGTGGAGGAAATGAAGAACAGATACCCCCGACGCATCAATCCCCATGCCATCATTCGGGGAGCGATGGCGGCCTTTCCGGACAATCAGGGGGCAAGAATGTAGATACATGTTATAACATCTGGCTGTTGTGTAGGCCATAGGTCTTCTGGAGTATTTACGCCAATGAAAGTCACGTGTTTGATTCCATGTCGTTGTATTCGTAACAGTAACGCATCTCAAGCAGAATAGTAGAAAGTGGTCGGACCACTACAATTGTAGACTATTGATTGCACATGAAGTAGAAGAGTCTGTCTCAGTCTCTGCACATTACCCTCAAAACAATGCTGTATCTGGCATACCCCCTCCCTGGGTAGGGCTGATGATCGTCAGGCAGAAAAGATACCCTCTCTTACTGACGGGGCGATGCCGACGGACTGATCAGTAATCCTGATATGCACCGAGCAACACCAGGGTGAGAGCGTGCATGAGGTAGAATAATCCAACCTCGGTTACTGACATGCAACATTATCCAGAAGCTCCTTGTTGGACATAAGAAATATAAACAATGAACTATGGGCGCAGATAGAACGGGTCCATCACACAGAGCACTCTCCACAGCATATTATCCCATTCACTCAAACTCTCACTACCCAAGATGTCCCTCCCAAACACCTACCAGCCCATTATAACAACGGAAAAAGACCTCCCAATAGCCCAAAAACGCCGTACCAGCTACATCCGCCCATTTCTCCTCTTCTATCTGAATTCCCTCATCGCAGAAATCATCTTCCTCGCCGTCGGCATCTTCATCATGACCGGCACCCGCGATCTTTTCTACAAAGTCATGTGGACGCTCGTCTTCTGTCCGCTCGGTATGGGCGGTGTCATGGGCAGTCTGACAAATGTCTTTATTGTGGATCAATATTATGGAAAGAAGGCGGCTCATTTCACGGGGATCTTGTCATTATTGGTCTTCAGCGCTTGTAACTATCTCTGCTATAACCTGGATAGGCATTTTGGATGGTTTGGAGCGAGTGAGCATCCGATGTGGTTCCATTGGCGATATCCTATGATTTGGTTTGTCGGATACTGGAATGGGTTGCTTTTGTTTACGGATAAGGGGCAGGAGAGGCTTGCTAGGTTGGGGTTGTAGGAACTATGATGTCTTAGCTATAACATTGAATATTGGTCATAATGAATACCACATTGCGCCCCCCATATGACCACTCTTCAACGATTACCATGAGATGGAACAGGGCCGTGGCTTGAAGAGTTGGCTATGTGAGCGATCGCGGGGACCGTGATATGTATTCTGACAGCGGAGAAGTCAATGCAGGCAGTTCTTGTAGGACTTCAAGAACGATGTCATTGGAGGAGAGTCACAGTGTAATATATCCGTCAAATCCCCTGGAAAACGATTCACTGAGTTTCGGTGTTTCTTAACCGGGGCCATGAGGAGGGGCCCTCCAATTGAAAGTCTGGAGCTGGAAAATGACCAAGGTTTGATGCTCCGCAATATGACTCAGGTGGATATTACAAACAATCATCGCTATAGTAACTGAAGCTGATAGAATGAATTTGCTGGGAGGGCAACTTCCATGAAATACGCAGGAACAATTCCGGCCGGAAATTGAATCCCGACAAATGCGGGGGTCGGGATTTCTCTATAAATGATCAATTCATCCCACCACTATCTGCTCAGCAACAATAATCATTCTTTTTGTTCATACTCACAGCAAACACAAAATGCTATCGAATAAGCAAGCCATTGGCACCCTCTCCTTGGGCCAGCATCCCTCGCACACACTGGACCAAAAGATCCGTGTTGCCTCACAACATGGCTTTACCGCTGTCGAAGTCGTCTACTCCGACCTCAAGAGGTACTCAGACGCCCTAGGTGTACCAATGCTAGACGCAGCTGGAAAGATAAAGAACCTTTGTGACGACCTCAGCATCGAGATTCTATCGCTGGCTGCATTCGAGAACTTCGAAGGAAACCGCACCTCATTAGATGAACGAATGGCCACCGCCAAGCATTGGATCGACATTGCGCGCAAGCTGCATGCGACCTATCTGCAAGTGCCGTCCAACTACAGCCATGATGCCAGCACGGACAAGAACATCATTGTGTCGGATTTGCAGAAATTGGCGGATTTGGCGAGCGCTGAGGAACCCGTTGTCTCGGTCGCGTATGAGCCACTCTCCTGGGGTACATACTGCTCGACCTGGGACACAGCCTTGGAGATTGTCGAGGCTGTTGATCGCAAGAACTTTGGTCTCTGCATGGACACCTTCCACGAAGTCACCAAGCTTTGGGCGAGCCCATTCGAGACATCCGGAAAGTATCCGACAGCCGATCGAGATTTGACTGCCTCGCTTGGGCGCTTCCTCAAGCAATGCCCACTCGAAAAGATCTTTTACGTCCAACTGTCAGACGGCGAGCTCTTCGACCCACCCTTCTCAGAGGCACATTCGTGGTATCTAGAGGGCGAAGCGCCACAGTTCACCTGGTCCAAACACGCCAGGCCATTCCCGTTTGAAACCGAGCTAGGCGGCTATATGCCCGTGCTAGAAATTGTCAAGGCATGGGTAGTCGACAAAGGGTATACCGGCTGGATCTCCATGGAGGTATTTGACAGACGGATGCGCAACGTGGAGTTCAATCCCCAGGATGCTGGTAAAAGAGCAAGAAATTCGTGGGAAACACTGCAAGACCGCCTCCGATCCCCCACACCCTCTAAAATATAAGCATCAGATAGTTCATGCACCACTCATCATTTTAGATAGCCGGTTCCTGAACTAGCAATAAAACTGCCGTGAAACACCCCAATACCCGAGGTCCAGACCCTCCCGTAGTCCCCAACAGGCAACTATCCCCGAAACCTACACACACGTGACTCGCCCGATGGTTTGCCATCGGCGAACGACTCCAACGTCCCCCATCCCATCATCCCCCAACTAATGCACATCTGACCCGCCTATTGCCCCCATTCAATCTCACTGCTCCTCTTTATCAGATCGAAATGGCCCCCGACATTCCCAGGCCACCGACTCTTCGCCGGTCATGCCAAGCCTGCGCGCGCGGCAAACGCCGCTGTGACCAGCGCTGGCCGCGCTGCACCCGGTGCCAAACCCGGAAGATAGACTGCGAATACATCAACGTCCCATTAACGGTGGGCTCCGACACAGGCTCAACAGCTACCACAACAACAATCACTACCAGATCAACGCTCTCACCGAAACTCCCTCACAAGAAGCCAAGACAGCATTACCAACTAACGACAACACACTCCATCCCTCTTTCCCTCCCCTTAGAAATCACAAAGGGCTACTCCCAACCCATCATTGCATACCTAGTCTCAGGCATGCGCGCATACCCATCCACCTTCGCCCTGAACATGAAAACCCACTTCATCCACCCAGACCTATGGCCCAGTCCATCTTCTCCCCCGTTACCTATCAGGGACATTCACGCCCTGTGTAAACTACACTCCACCAGCACAAACAAAACCATCATTCCCCTCCTCAAACAGAAATCCTCCTCCCTCCTCCGCACCCTCAACCACACCACCAGCTTTGAGGAAATGCTAGCCACCGCGCAGGCCCTCCTCCTCACGCAATGCATGCTCGTTTTTTCCGATACAGACACATCCCAATCCTACTCCGAATCAATCAGCACTATGCTCTACAATCTCGGCCAGAAACTCTGGCAACAAGCCCCCATCCAACTACCAGGCAGTTTGAGCCCGCGCAGAGCGTGGCTGTTCGCTGAGAGTGTGCGGAGGACGATCATCGTGGGGTTCATGCTGCGGAGCGTGTACTCGCTCAAGATGCGGAATTATTCCGTCCGCACGCCGTTCGTGGATTCATTGCCGTTTGATATGAGGACTGGGTTGTGGGATCGGGATGTTGATGTTGGTGGGGATGCGAGTGGGGAGTCGCTGGATGCGATGGTCTCGTTGCATCAGTATTCAGGCATGTTGGAAAGTGGCATGGTTCATGGGATCTCGGAATTTGGGGGGTTGATTCTTGCCGCGTGTAGAGGGAGGGCGGTGCAGGGCGTGCCGTATCCTTCTGTTACTGGGTATGCGGGGTACTAATCACACTACACTACACTGTGCTATTTTCTTTCTTTCTTTCTATTTGCGAATGTTTGCCCATGGCATCGATGTAATATAATCATGGTAAGTCTATATCCAATCTGTCTATGCATTCTGCGCCCGGCTAACAAACCCTAAAAGAAAGATTCATCCCAATTACACCAAGAACTGCTTCAACAATCCGTTCAACATCGCCGTCATGTCCGCATACAGACTCTGCCTCTTCGTCTCAAAGGCCTCGTAGATATCGTTCGCCGAACCCACAGCAATCTGATCCTCACCAGACTGCAATCTGCGCCACACCTCACCGACAAACTCATCCAACGGCATGCCGATCAAGTGTCCGTTCTTCAGATCAGGCTGGTGCTTGGGATCGTGCAGCTCGGTCTGCACAGCGGGCGGGTAGATTTCCAGCACCTTGACGTTGCCGGGGCCCTCAGCGACCTGCGTGCGCAGAGCCAGGATGAAGTGGTGCAAGGCGGCCTTGGAGGCGCCGTAGTTGGGGCAGCGCATCATGGGCACGAGGGCCATTTGGGAGGTGGTGTAGGCGAGGGCGGTCTGGGTGGGGAGGGACTGCAGGTGGGGGAGGAAGGCCTTGGTGAGGTAGACGGCGGAGGTGTAGTTGGTGATGAGCTCGGTGTCGAAGGTGGTGAGATCGACGGAGTTGGGCTTGGAGAAGTCGAAGGGGCGCTGGATGCCGGAGTTGATGAAGATGCAGTCTAGGTCGGGGTGGGCGGTGGTGATTTCGGTGGCGAACTGGGGGATCTATGTAGTAATAGTACGTGAGTAGGGTGTGGGTGTGATATGGATGGTACAGGGGGGAGGAGGGGGGCCGCGTACCTGGTCCAGCTGCATCACGTCAAAGACCTTGGATGCGACCTTGTCGCTGCCGTATTTCTGGACGAACTCATCCAGGTTCTCCTTTCTTCTGCCGGCAATGACAAGCTGGGTGCCGTTCTCGATCACCTTGGCGGCGAGCGCCTTGCCGATGCCGGAGGTGGCACCGATGATGAGGACTTTCTTGTAGGGAAACGACATGGTGATTGATTGTGTGTATATACGGACAAGCGTATGTGATTATTATACAGGTAGATTAGTGAGAATTGAGCCTGAAACAGAGGCAGAATGGCCGGTATTTATCTTCAATCTATGCAGCTGAATGACGTCCCACCCGCGGAGACTAAGCCCGATGCGATCCCACTCTTGGCGAGGCACCCTCGCGGAGACTAGGCCGCATTAGGAAAGCCATCTGGGTTTTCGCTGCTTTTTCGCGACAACCCTGGGATCATCCCCCAGACTTGAAGGCGAAAGAAGCATCCGGAATCACCGGATTTGTAAGAAAGGGATTATTAAACATCGGGCTCTATACTGTGACGTGTTAGATCGAGGTTGAGGGATTTCTGTCACCTTCGCCCAGCGGACTCTAAGCAGTATTCGGCGATTCAGCATCGAGATCATCTTTTCGCAAGGTAGGTCTCAGCTGCGTAGGTATCTCCGAGAGGATGCGTGCGGGCTAACGGTTTTCACTAGCCCCTGAAGATCGGGGTTGGTTGGATTCCTCCTTATCGATGTAGTGACTTGGGGCTAGGACCGTGTCAAGTTCACGGACCGGCAGCATGCATAGTCTCCAACAACTCGTCTCTCTCAACGCTGCTCTCAACTAGGCTGCGAAAGACTCCATTCCGATTCGCTATCAGTTCCCGGGGTGTGCCGTACTCGATAGCCCGACCGGCGTCTAGCACAAGCACCCGATCAAAGTCAACGATAGTGCTAATGCGATGGGCGATGACTAATAGTGTAGAGTCATTGTGCCCAAACTCAGCCCGGATGGATTTCTGGATTACTGCGTCTGTGGGCTTGTCGATGGCTGAGGTTGCCTCGTCTAGAACAAGGATTTTGGGCCGGCGGAGGATGGCCCGGGCGAGGCAGAGACACTGTCTTTGACCTTGGGAGAAGTTCGCGCCTCTTTCGGTGACTGCAGTGTTTAGAATGCTTGGAGGGTGCTGGAATTGGAGTTCCAGAGAGTTAAAAGGGTTTTCTCTGGGTTCTTCATCCTCATCT